TGTCAGGAACCACTAACATGACACGTTACATCCGAAATAATAAACAAGACTTGTTACACCCGGAACAACAAGCAGGACACGTTACATCAGAAACAACTAACATGACAAATTAAAACCCGGAACAACTTAAAGGACACCTTACAACTGAAACAACTAAAAGGACTTGTTACATTTGAAACAGCTATCTGGAAACATGAAATACGGAACAATTGACAGGACACGTTTCATCCAGAACAATTAACAGGACACGTTACATCTGGAATAACTAACAAGACATGATTCATCCGGAACAACTAACTCAACACACGAGATCCGGAACAACAAGCAGACCATCTATTACATCCGGAACAACTAACAGTACACTTTCCTTCCGGAGCCACCAACAGGACCCACTATATCCGGAACAACTAAAGGGCACGTCACATCCGGAACAACAAGCAGGAAATCTATTACATCCGGAACAACTATCAGGACATGTGAAATCCGGGACAACTTAATTGACACACTAGATCCCGACCATCAAATAGGATATATACTACATTTTAAACAACTTAAACGGCAATTTACATCCTGAACAACTGACTGGACACGTGTAATCTGGAACAAATCATTAATATATACACATTTTTATTTAAATAAAAACATTTATGATTGAAAAAGGACATTGTTTATGCTTCATATTAGTTATGGTGTTTTACATTCACATGCTGCAAAACTCAAAGTCAACTGAAGCAATAAAATAACACTTCTGCGAACTTGTGCTTATAATAGGAAATGCTTCTATTGAAATAATTTCAAAGATATATCCCCATAGTGCTTTCCCAGCGGTTGTTGCTGCAGTTATAGCCCAGACCATAACAGTCTTCCCTTCGTTTTCGTACCTTTTCCTATCATTGTCTCGCATGTTTCTAATTTCTTCCTTGTATCGTTTTTCTTCTTCCTCTAATTCGTGTTTCTTATCTCGGACTCGACTTTTTCGATTTCAAATTTCTTTTTGTTTCCTCCAAGTTCCTTTTTTTCGGCCTCTTGTTCGGAATTTTCCTTTTCCTTTGTTTGAAGTTCCAATTCTTCTACTTGCATTGTTTCCCCCATCCAATTTCTTTTTTATGTCTTTCCCATTCTTTTTCTTTGAAGTCAATCTTTTCCTGAATCTGCTCAATCTTCTTTTCTCTTTTAAGTTTGGTTTTCTTAGCGTCGCTGAAATTCCAGCCCTGAGTTTTCAATCTTGTCATTTGAGAAGTAAGCTTTGCCAGTCTCCTTCATGATAGCTTGGATCATTCTAAACAGATCTAGTACATCACATTCAGTTATCTTACCGCTCGAAAAGTTATCAAATGCTAAGTATTCTGGTGTGAAGCGCCCTACTTGAACAACAAGAATAAAGACATGTGGTCCGGGAGTCAGAATTCCTATGCATTTAAGAATTTCTTTTGCGATACCTTCGTTGGCTAATACCGTGTCGAACAGTCCCAGTGTGTCAACTACTAACAACTTCTTGCCAAAACGCTATGCTGTGTGGAATTTACATTTCTTTGTCACTGAAGATCCAGCTAATTTAGACGTGAAGGATTACTTACCCAGAATGGTGTTTCCAGTCGCACTCTTTCCAAACCCCGTGCGTCCTATCAAAGCTATTCGGTACTAGAACCCTGATACTTTACACCCGAAACAACTATCAGGACTCGTAACATCCGGAACAACTGACAGGACACTTAACACCTGGAACAACTGACAGAACACTTTACACCTGGAACAACTGACAGGACACGAAACACCCGGAATAACTGACAGGACACTTTACACCTGGAACAACTGACAGGACACTTCACACCTGGAACAACTGACAGGACACTTAACAAACGCAACAACTGACAGGACACTTAACACACGGAACAACTGACAGGACACTTAACACCCGGAACAAATAACATGACATTTTACATCTGAAACAACAATCAGGACTCTTTACACCCGGAACAAGTGACAGGACACGAAACACCGGTACAACTGGCAGGACTCTTAACACCCAGAATAACTGACAGTTCACTATACACCCGAAACAACAATCAGAACTCTTAAAAGACGGAATAACTGACAGGACACTAAACACCTGGAACAAATAACATGACATTTTACACCCGAAACATCAATCAGGACTCTTTACACCCGGAACAAATAACATGACATTGTACACCCGAAACAACAATCAGGACTCTTTACACCCGGAACAACTGACAGGACACTTTACACCCGAAACAACAATCAGGACTCTTTACATCCGGAACAACTGACAGGACACTTAACACCCGGAACAACTGACAGGACACTTAACACCCGGAACAACTCACATGAAACTATACACCCGGAACAGCTAAAAGGACACTTGTAACCCAGAACAACAGACAGGACACTTTATATTCAACATTTGATATAGCGCCCTATCTAGCTAACATAGGCCACTCTAAAGCGCTTTACAGTACATCGATACCTAGCGGCTGTGTCAGGCATCCCTGCCAATGCCATTGATGATACGGAAGCTGGCGAGGACGCCGGAACTTCACAATTGAAAAGCGACGGCTTGGGTATTGGTGAAGTTGGAGGTCATGGGGTTAATGGTGACGATCATGCTTTCTCTATGGAGGAAGAGATTCCCCAACCTGAAGCTGTCCTCGAGCCATCCCTGGATATTGAAGATGATGGAGAGGCAGCATCTGCTTAAAGTACCAGGCAGGCACCTATTCCCCTTCCCATGAGATCAACCAGGATTCGAATGTCCCCTGAGTGGCACAAAGACTTTGTGTTACGTCAGGACCCAGTCCCAACTTCTGATTTGGGAGCCATAGCGGAATACTTCCAACAATTGGTGGAGTCAGGAGTTGTGGACCGGATGCCTGAACAAGTTTTAACATCATTATTGGCTTAAAGCTGTCATTAAGTCTGGAGATTTTTGCCTTTGCATTGTTTTATATATTATCATATCCATTATATAAGTTTTACATGCATTTTATATATTCATAACTTGGAGAAGGTATATTGTATTCTCAGAGTTTATATGATGAGGGCATCATTTCCCAACAGAGGGGAGTATGTGGCAGGTTGAATTATTCTGTCATTAGGATATGTGATCATTGTATATAATGAATGTGCTGTTTGAATTTTATATAAAGACGGGCATGGGATTCCTTAAAAGTCTTTCCTGTAATGGGATGCCTTAATGTTTATGAACAGGTGACCTGTCTTTAAGTATCTTCATGTATTGACATGTGATGGACTATAGGGATTGTGATTGGACAAGATTAACCTGAAGTTCTTGCTTTCAATCTCACTCTGACTTCTATCCACGTTTTCACACCTGGCACCTGGTGTAATCCTTCATTTTAAAGGAGCTTTGTAATAGAATATGCCTTGGCTATATTTGGTGGTAAGTTATACTATTTTATACTGGTTTTGGTAAATAATTGTACTCCAGATTTAAAACATTAGGTGTAGGCTCATTCTGTATAACGTTTAAATAATGGTTCAATGGTAAAAAATATAATTATCTTTGTCTTGAGTTATAAACTTTTGTAATGGGCAGTTACCGCCATTTTAGGTGGGCTTTGTCTATAATTAAATAAAGGTAAATACTCATTAGTTTTATACACAAGTTTCTAGTGAAGATGCTTGCTGAAAATTTCATGTTATTCTTTTTAGAGGTGAACCTTTCAGTCCATTTGGTCCAAGGCAATGATATATATGGCTCTTAAGCCACGTGTAAACCCCTGCAATATCTCGTAGGGTGATTGTATGGATATATTTCATTTGTGCAAAGTCACTTTTATTATATGAGAAGTAATTGTGTAATTTAAAGATATACCCATATCTTATATAAATATAACAAAAGATTTGTTCTTGAGGTGTGTTAATTTAATAAATTTAACCGTAGCTATATTTTCATTCTTAAATGGAAAATAATTGTAAAGTTATATTTCTAGTAATAAATTGTATATTGTAAAATACAATTTACATCTCTCAATTATGTATAAACGAGAATAACTGATTGAATTGCAATATATATGTAAGTAAAGAGTTATCGTTCTTTGCGGTTTTAAATAAGGGTGTGTGAGTAATGTATTTTATGTTTTGTTTTCTAGGGTTTTATTTCCATGTAATAAAATATCATCGAACCCTCAACATCTCGTGTTTTATGAGACTGTTACACATATACATTAATTAATTCAATTTTGAGGAATTCGCAGGAGCTGCCTTACCAGGCGCTAACTACTAGTCCTATGCCACCTGGCTAATATCTCCCTATGTGTGCGTGCCTGCGTGTGGGCTGGATATGTATTGTTTTCTGTTTTGTAGTGGGACCGTGCTTCCAATGGCATCTTTTATAGTGCCACCTCACTTGAATGCTACACCACACATACCGCAACATCCCCCCAGACCATTTTATACTAAACCTGGGTTGTTGGAGTTGTGTGGGCAGGAGATAAAACACTCTCTCTGATATTCCATGCGTACATTGACTTCGAGGATCGAACCCCGGCCGTCTGCGTGGAAGGCCGAAGTGTTAACCATTCGACCAATACACCTGGAACTGACAGGAAACTTTACATCCGGAACAACTGACAGGGCACTTAACACCCGGAACAGCTGACATTTTATAAGACACCTCTAGCTTGGCAATTGGTTGAAAACAAAAGTTGTTTAACATAATGATATGATGTTTACTTATGTACTATCTGTTTTGTATCATCAAAACTATTATTATAATTTCCTGAATACATGTACAGACCAACATGTCCAGTCAGTCATGTCGGAAAAAAATGCCCATTACAAGCTAGTATTATGTTTGAAGTTATTAAGAATGTCCAAGGTGCAAGCAATAATACCGTATGTGCTAATGGATTGTAAAAGAAAAAAACACATTGTTCTGTACAATCTGATGTGTAGATGATGTCACTGATCTTTTTTATATGTTTGGTGCTGAATATACATAAATTGTCAGTACTTACAGGTGACGCTTTTCCAGTAATTGTTTGTATCGTCGAACTGTCGTCACTTGTTGTCTTGGAACTACTTGTTGACTCGCTGTCTTTTTGTAACGTCTCAGCTTGTAGCACCGCAAAAAACGTGTCAATGTTGTCTGATTCAAAGGAAAGTATCAGTCTTCTTCAGATAGTTCAGTGTATACAATACGAACAATATAATTTATACAGGTTTTGTGAAGCAATTACAAATAAAATAAAATAAACGCGTTATACTTGTTTACAAATTGCAAATTGGTCATATTGTCAATAGAGGCTTAATACGAAAACAACATTGATTTAACAATAATACCATTGGTTGTTTTGGTTTATTTCCTGGGTGTAATCCTTTGTTTTGCGAGTAATAATATACCTTTGAAAGTATTATTTTTTACATAAACAACAAAACAATATATACATTTTTTATCAAAATATTTTTGAGTTACCAATGCAGATGTAATATGGAATGTTGTGCTACATGTATAATATTTGTGTAACACAGATGTCATCGATAAACCATAGTTAATGCTTCATTATGATACATACCACTATTGATAACACATAGGGAGGTGGAGAAGCTTTTTCCGACACCATAGCTGTTTTCAACAAGACATACATAACACCCTTCATCCTCAACTGTTGTGTCACCAATTACCAAAGATGGTGACTCAACAGAACCTCCAAAGTATTTATCGCTATCAATCTCAATGGCATGTTCTGTTCCGTCGTCTTTGTTGATTCGGAACCATGTAACTGAGATGATAGGGGTTGACGTCAACAGCCTGCTTTTAAAGATAGCTATGTTTCCGATTTCAACACAGAATGCAGCTTGATCGATGCTTACTATCGGCCAATTCACATCAGCGGCAGCTGTCGAACATTGTGATTGAAAATTATTTTATAAAAGTGGAAAGAATATGATACAAAAAAATAGCAAAAAATATTACATAATAGTAAGAGTACTGTCGAGACGGTGTGCTGATTTAACATTTGCTTATTCATAATCTATAAAATCTGAAATATTTGTAACCTGCAATGTTAAACGCTACATAAATGCCATGACATTTTATTTAAAATTCTTCGTAAGAATATTTAATCTTGTTCCTACCTCTACGTTCACTTGATTTGTATGCTGTTAATCTCTATATTTTAAAGTGAGAAACAAAAAAAAGCGAGTAAACGGTAGGAACTTGGCCGTATTGTCAGGAAGAGAACGCTTTACTCTGATCAGGTCATTTCCCCGGAAAAAAGGACATGATCTCCGAGAATTAGATGCTTGTTTTGCATCCACTGCTACGGTATTTCTTTTAAATTAGCCACGCAACGGTGAACGTAGTGACAATATAGCAGTATACGGTCACCGCCTCATGATCATATTTTAACGGTCAAATTATAAAAGCTAGTTTGTCATTAAAAGTAATACCGGTAACAAATGCAGGGATACAAGTTCAGTGTTATTTAAATAGATTGTGACGCTAGGCGTTATATATCTTATACATGAAACATTTGTGTATGGAAATATTATACCACTGATGTGGACTCAATGTATTTCTAGAAAACAATAAAGAAAGGGCGGTAACTGTAGAAAGCCTAGCTTTAACTGACCACCAAATGATCTGGATCACGACCTAATTTTCGGAAATTACCTAATATTAATTGGGTGTCCTGCTTCTGAATGTAAGGTCCTGTTTCTAAAACTTACATTGTTTCGAAACAAACATTTGTAAAATTAATTGTAATCATAAGCTGATAATTTTGGCTATGCTTTCGTAATATAGGCTGTGACAAATGGAAATAGGTACAAAAAGAAATGAATTACGCTGTTTTGGAAATAGAGCAATTCTTAAATCATCAGTGCCTCCCGTCGGATGCTTTCATTAGTTTTGAGTTAGTCTGCGTATGAAATCAATTTATGTTCAACCATTGGAATGAAAAACAAAACAATTGTTCATTTCTTCATTTTGACGTCAGTTCCCTTATTATGTTCTTAGTTAACCTTTATGTAAATAGAACGTGGTATTTTGATAATGTATTAATTGTATGATATCGTATCATATAACGGATGTATCGCTTGTAGAGTTTGGATATATAAAATTGAAAATGTTAATGAAATTATGTTGAACGGGTGTTAAATTTTAGATTTTAGCCCAAAAATATCAAGGAAAATTTGAAGATATGGTGATTTAAGATAACCTTATTCATAGGCTATTAAACTGATAATGAAGATTAATGCTAGAACTTAATGATATTTTTTAACAAATACAGCGAACATTTTTTTCTATTCAACATTACCTTTCCAATGGAAGTCATTACACAGGTTTCTATATTTAAGGTTTTTATTTCGATTTTATTTTGTAAAAAATCTTATAATATATATATATATACTTACCATCAGCCGTATCTTTCATTGTTAACTTTACAGAATCGGGTTGTACTTGTAACGGGTTTCCGGATTCATCAGTCAGAAGAATAGAGCTGTCTTTCAGACCTGTACCGAATCGTTCCGCTAAGGCCAACGCAGATGTTTGCAATGGATGTGTAGCACCAGTTATGTCGAACGACACGATGATGCAACCTTTGAAAAAGATAGATAAAAGAATTATGATATGGATCAATGTATCTAGATGATTTTTTACGACTAATATTAAATAGTATTTCTGGTAGCATAAAGTAACACATTATATTTACCTCTGGTCAACATTATGTTGACAATCCTATGGTCTACACATAAAGCTGCTGCAATCTTTTCTTGAAGGGATTCTTTGAGATATATTTTGTCTTCGTGAACAGTAAATCGTACGTGGATATTTCTGATGTCCATATCCCCTGTTGCTATGAAGCCTTCAACAGCGACAAAATATTATATCATTTTTGAAGCCGGTGTATTAAGATAAGAATAATTAATTGCAAACTCAAATATAATAAGTACATCATTTGAAATCAGTAGCTAAAGTCGCAGGATAGCAAATAAACTCCTACAAGAAATTAGTTTCCTGGAAACAATTGATATTAATATTACATTAAGTACACCTGGTTTCGTACGACTCGTCAAAAAGTGGTTGTACTTTGGGCAAATGGGTCACAGATTGATAGTAGGACGAAAGACGGACTGGAAATGTGATTGAAGACAAAAAATGACCAAGTTTAAAAGTCAATTACTCGGCAAAATTTTATAAAGAAAATAAAAACAGAGTGCACAGCTGCAGAGAAGCCTTTCTTGGAATTGGTTTCAAGTTCAACACAAATTTCAAATGATTAAAATAAAGAAATTCAAAATAAATCTTGATTTAAACAGTGAAATATATACAATGACTCTATTAACAAACCTTTTAACTCTCCAAAGGGTTGAATAAAGGTTTCTGCCATTTTCATTGCATTTTTCCACTGACCGTCAAAAGTCTTTTCAGGATCTGTGTAAGAAAATATATTCAACGTAAATTAAAAAGTAGCCATGGTATCTACAATTATAAGCAATAGGTCTTGTTAAATCTACATATTGTATCATATGCAGAGATTAACAAAAAGTAGTAAATCCCCGAAGTTTGCTGTAATCTTGATGACCACAGTTATATGTTTTGAGTCGTGGCAGAATTAATAAAATACACACTTTACAAATGTTTTTTTTTTTAAATCGATCAGGGGTTTAATGCACCTGCCTCTCTGTTTCAACAGTTTAGTTAGAAAATCTGAATTACGATTCATAACTTTGTTGACACTTCAGCATTCTCTTGTTGTTTGTGTGTCATTATTATTATAATCGTGATATTATATACAAACCTGATCAACTTACTACTACATGGTAACATCGACGACTAAGACAGCATGTGTGTTACTGTGCTATCTTTTCGTTGTATCGCTTGAATTGTGATTTAATGATGTCGGCATAAAATACATATTTAAAGCTATTTAACCCATGTCACATTTATATATTTTAACTAACAAGACATGTCATAACTACATGGTATACCTGATAAAATGTAAAGGCATCTTCTAAAATGAATCATAATAATTTATTTCTGCAATGTTGGTCTAATCATGCTTCCCTCCAAAGTTCATGATCCATAGTTATTCAGGGGAAGTTGATTATCAGATTTAAGCATTTTCGACAGGTTTAGATAATTACTTTGAACGAACCAGATGGCCAAAAAGCATTGGTTGTACATGCCACATAACCATTTTATGTTATGTTCGGCTCTTCAAAACAGATAATGAAAATGTTAAAACATATCTAATGCTATGAAAACAGGCTCTTGGCTTATTAAGAAGCTATTTTGATTTAATAGACTATATATTGACTACTGAATGACGAATTGTTGAAAAGCGTACCTTTTACTTGCTCTGGTTGTTTGATTATGACGTGGATCTCATCACTCTTCCCTGTTCCGGCTGCGTTTTTAGCATGACAGACATATATTGCCTCATTGTCCTCCTCTCTTGTCTCCGTTATACAAAGAGATGGCGACTTAACAGATCCACCAATATATCTCTTGTCGTCGATCTCAATGTCTGTGAATGTGCCTTCTCCTTTCGCCTTTCTTTTCCATTGCACATCGACGATTGAAGTGGTACTTTTAATCAGTTCACATTTCAGCACAATGTGTTGTCCTTTCGTGACACTGTACGGTTTTGTGTTAATCTCTACAATAGGGACGTCTGAAAATTGAAAGTTGGCATAACATTTAAAATGTAAGCATTGAATTATCTTTTTTTATCACTGTAACTTTGAAAATGAATGATGATAACTCATTTCTGCAATGTTGGCTCAGTCAAGCGTCCCTCCAAATTTCATGATCAATAGTTAATCAGGGGACGTTGATTTAAGATTTAAGCTTTTTTGACTGGTTAAGATAATTCCTTTGAACGAACCAGATAGAAAACAAAAATCCTTGTACATGCCACTTACTCATTCTATGTTATGTTCGGCTCTTCTAAACAGATATTGAAAATGTTAAAACATATCTAATGCTATGAAAACAGGCTCTTGGCTTATTAAGAAGCTATTTTGATTTTAATAGACTATATATTGACTACTGAATGACGAATTGTTGAAAAGCGTACCTTTTACTTGCTTTGGTTGTGTGATTTTGACGTGGATCTCATCACTCTTCCCTGTTCCGGCTGCGTTTTTAGCCTGACAGATATATATTGCCTCATTGTCCTCCTCTCTTGTCTCCGTTATACAAAGAGATGGCGACTTAACAGACCCACCAATATATCTCTTGTTATCGATCTCAATGTCTGTGAATGTGCACTTTCCTTTCGCTTTTCTTTTCCATTGCACATCGACGATTGAAGTGGTACTTTTAATCAGTTCACATTTCAGCACAATGTGTTGTCCTTTTGTGACACTGTACGTTTTTGTGTTAATCTCTACAGTAGGGACGTCTGAAAATCGAAGGAGGCATAACTTTTTAAATGTGTGCATTGAATATTTTGCTCAGTGCACACATTGAAGGGTAGTTCGGTCAAAGGTCAAGCAATAAAAGTCTGAACACAATGCACAAAGGAGGCGGATGTGAGCTTAAATCGTGCATATTGTATGCTTTACCTTTCCTTTTTTGTATGATCAGGTATCGATTAGGTCGTATACATTTTGCAGCATTACTGTTGTTACTGTGTCGACCTTGCTGTTTGATGTTTGCTTGATAAATTTCGTACTCTGTTGTAGAAAATGTAAGCATTGTGATTTATAAATTGGAATAAAAGAACATTCTATTTCATCTGAGCACGATATAATTGATCAATACAAGTAGTTTGAGGATCTCAAATTAGTATTTTTCTTCCTTTTTATGAGGACGGTTGATTTTGTTCGCTCATATTACGTAACCTGGACAACCGATTATTTTGTATCTTCTTACATATACACATACATCACTTTGTTACAATGTATTAACGTGATAAAAAGGTATTGCATATACATAGCATTCTATACTACTCACATTTTGCTAAGGATCACTTTTATTTTTGGCATATGTGAAAATAAATATTAGTTTTGGTTTATACTGAGATTATTTTTGAAAAATGAATTGTTCTATAGATTCATCAGCGTGCAAACATTCCAAAAATCGTAATTGCAGCTGGAAAATGAGCCACAGTGAAAGGTTAACCTTGAAATTGGTAACAACGAGGTATTCACTAAAAGAATTAAACTGAACAAAACTCATTCTAAATAAACAGAAACTGTTTTAGTATCGATTAAGACACCTATGAGCATCAATAACAGTTTCACAACGTCTGCGCATGCCCCGAATGAGATTGCGTATCCGGTTTTGTGGAATAGCGTTCCACTCAGCTACCAAAGCTGTTCCCAGCACCTGGAGCGGTATTGGCTGAACATTTCTGGCAGAGAAAGCTGTCTGCAGCATGTCCCACACATGCTCGATGGGATTTAGATCCAGCTCTATGTGGCCAAGCAATATCGTCCATAAGGATGAAGTCAGGGCCGATAGCGCCAGTGTAGGTTCTGACATATGCATCAAGAATTTCGTCGCAGTAAATTCGGGCCGTAACGGTAGCATTATGGAAGACAATGGTCAATTTTCCCACGAGGGCTTAAGCCTCCCCAAACCATCACTGAACCTCAGCCATATCGGTCATGTTCCACAACGTTACCTGCCTGGAACATCTCCCCAAGTTGTCTCCATACTCTAACGCGCCCGTCGGTGAAGTCGAGACAGAGTCTGGACTCGTCAGTAAAAAGAACAGGTTCCCATTCCTAAAGAGTTCAAGTGCTGTGAGCATGGGCCCAATCTTATCGGTCCCTAACATGGCGGGCAGTTAAAGGACCTCGTATTGCAGGTCTGCGTTACCTTAAACCAGCATCATAAAGACGGTTCCTAACTGTCTGAGTGGCTACCCGGGTACTAGAATCATGTGGGAGGGGAATTCGTAAAGCTGTGGTAGTCTGGAACCTGTAACGCCGTGCCTGTATGAGCAAAAATCGGATTTTGGCGCTGCATTATATCCATAGAACGACCTCCAGCATGACGTCTGGAATGGTTTCGTTAGTTTGGAAACGATTTCACATTCTTGCCACCACACTTTAAGACACCCTAAGGTCTGCTGCAACTTGACGTTGAGCTTCCGTCCCTATTCATTTCACCACCATTTAACCGTTCGTCTTTGTGCCATATTAAAACAAAAACACGCAAAGGCTATTCATCAAATTGATTTCCTTAACAATTTGAACAACGCCTTACTTAGTCTAGCTTAGCTTTTGAAAGGGGTTGTACACGTGAAAAAGCGTGCACGCGCTTTTATGGCTGACTGACACAAAGGACGATTTGGAAGGCTAACATATTCGCCCAAAACAATAAGACAGGAAAATATAATACCCTTTCTAACATTTTGATTTTTTTCTCTCAAAATATAGGTGATCCTTAGCAAAAGGTGAGTAGTAAATAAATCTTATATACTTTATCAACATATCAGAATTATATCCATTACATAATTTAGTGTAATGAAGCTAATATTCGTTTCTCATAATCGTTTTCAATTAATCATAAGTCATAATTTTGGCTTTTAATAATATTTGACCAACAACACTGAATTTGGTACACATTTGAAATAAGGATTCAATATTGATGCAGTGGATCCTGCTGATATAGTTTAGTCAAATAGTACATAAAACATGAAAACAGAAATATAAATTGTTTTGCCGAAAGTATCCAAACGTGATCATTTTGAATCCAATATTTTGTTGTGAGTTATACATTTTGCGGAAACATCACCGATTTGATATTTTAACCTTAATACCTTCAAAAGAATACGTAATTCAACTAGCGAAAAATATAAAACTGTGTTATGATAATTACATTTATTCGGCCAGTGGTTAGTTCTAGACCAGACAAGATTATCTGACGGCAAATTTAATGTTTTCTTTCCCATTGTTATGACATAACCCATAATGTGAGAAATAAAGATAAAGGTATATTTGGGTTACTCGATATAATTAAATAACATAAAAGAGTGTTAGAGAAGTGTGATTGACGCAAAGTGTACAAATGCGTCATACATCCTATGTTTTATGTGTTGAGTGTTATTGTACATGTGTTCTTATGTATTTCATACCATGTTGTATGCAGAAAGTGAAATGTGCACGTGATGCTGATCTAAAAGCAGGGTGATGTTATTCAAGTAACCCTAATTGACTATGGTATTTAAACGTAATGAATCTTAGATTACTCTTAAAATATCCAAATATGAATGGAAGATATATAGTTTAATATTACACTTAGTAAATGTACACGAGTGTTTAATCGAACGCACCTTGCAATCACAGTATTGACTATGGTACAGTATGTATAAGTTAAATGTAATATTTCTTAGAATATTACAAAATCTCCAAATGTAAGTGGAAAATATGATATAGTTTAATGTTGAATAGTTTAATATTGTACTTAGTTATAAAATACGATGCATTACATTAAATGTACATGCGAGTTCATGTGTGTACAGTTTAGTCAAGGTTAATAGAACGCACCTTGCAATCACTGTCACTGTCAAGATGCTCTTAACTACAGTGTGTACTATTGAGGTTACTCAACCGTGACCAGTTCATTCATACATGTGTAGGGCACGTGCTGTCACCCAGGTGAGTTTGAAAACTGGTTTGACCAGTTTTGGGACTGTATGTGCCTCAGGTAAATCAGGTAAGGTGAGGAAAACATGATAGGCATGCAATTACTAGGTATTTTACAAGGTACCCAAGGTAGGGTGGGGTAGGACCGGACAGAACTTTGACAGTGAAGGTTGTGGTCTAGGGCTCAATGATACAATGTATTAGCTGGGTCCTAATGATGGCTGTGTGCCTGTATCTCTACATGGATAGCTGGGTGCTGGGAGGGCTGTGTGCCTGAACTCCAATTCCATTGCCAATATGTATTAGCTTGGTGCTAATAATGGCTGTGTGCCTGTATATATAAATTTCAAGCTGTGTGCTTGTATATATGAATTCCAAGCTGTGTGCTTCGAAGGCATATGTATTAATGTGTTGTACTAGACATTCGGGCTAGATTAGGTACTATATATCGTTGGTTATGCCTTGTAGGTAACCTTTTTATGTGACCCCGACCATAGATAGACCTTCTGTAGGAGCTGGTTTGGCTGTAACCGGATGTAACCCTGATGTGACATTGAGTCGACCTTGAATTGGAACTGTGGTTCAACCTGGAATGATTTCACCAATATGGAGAGAAGTATTGAGCTCCGTCTTGAGTGACATATACGTGCCATTCCTGGATACGCGTGAACCATTCAAATACGCTGTCTTCGGATAGTGTGGAACACATGTGCAGAGACTGTAACATGACTTGATGGACTCTATAAAAATGTATCTATTGATGTAGGGTGAACTATCTGCAAGGTGTAAACCGGGGGTTTATGTATTGTTAGGAGTGAGTAAAAGATTGTTGCACAGTGTGATTGTGTAGTTTGTGGTATTTATGTTTTGTACATTGTATGATTTGCTTGGTTGTAAATAACTGTATATATGTTGGTTATACGTTGGTTGCTAGTTTGTATCAATTTTGGCCTAATATACCACACCTCGTGACAGTCACACAGAAGCTTTTGTAAAATATGGCGACGTGAGGTTGTGGTATTCGAATAAGAGTAAACAAAACGTATGTATCATAGTAGAAAGGTGGGTTTTAGTTCCATGATCTCTCAAAATTATATTTCCGATATTTGTTTATATGTTTTATATATGTCCGACCCCATTCCTTTTGTTCTCCAATGTTGAAAAAACAACGACTATTGTGATTTTAGAACACACATGGACGGTGTAACAATATTATCTGTCAATTGCCAGGGTCTTGGTGATATAGTGAAACAAAAAGACGTATTTGCATACTTGAGAAATAAAATTATATTAGATTTTGTCTTCAGGATAAACATTTTACAGCAGAAAAGGAAAATTTGATTCGGGCTAACTGCAGTCTTGATTGCTTTTTTAATTCTTACAATTCAAACTCTAGAGGGGTTGCCATTCTTTTTAATAAAAACTTTGAATACAAGATTTTATACACTAGAAAAGATGACAATGGGAATATTTTAGCTTTTAACATCCAAATCGAAGGTTAAAAACTTACACTTATAACTGTATATTGTCCTAACAGTGACTGACCAGATGTTTAAGAAACAGTGGAAAATATTTTAACAGAGTTGGGCAATTTTCAGTTTGTTATACATGGGGATTTTAATTTGGTTATTGATCCCAAATTAGACTGTGACAAGTATCGGCAAATAAATAACCCCGAGACCAGAGATAACATTTTAAGAACTAGGTATGGTCTATTAAGCCAGGATATCGATCATACCATTTCATGTCCATTATGATTTTAAGCTTCACCAAATTTCAAAACTGGAGGGGGTTATGGAAATTCAATAATTCATTATTCAAGATTCAAAATATTTAAAAGCCATTAGATCTCTAATCTTCTTTTTATAACTCTTCATAAACCCACATGACTCTTGTATTAAAAAAAATACCATGTTATACATTTTTTGTGGTGCGGAAAGACTGATAAAGTTAAACGCGATGTTATAATTAAGTCATACGAACAGGGTGCTTTGAAAATGATTCATTTAAAGTCTTTCATAACAGCACTAAAAACAACGTTGGTGCGGATGATCTATAAAGAAGATGCCAGTTAGACTTCCATTACTGAAAACTACATTGATAAATTCTCTTCAGCTAATTGTGGAATTCATAAATTGAAAAATATATGTGTAGAATGTAATAATATATTTTGGAAAAACGTTCTAGAAGCATGGTATCAAACAATAGTGTCGTCCAGTATATTCAGTGAAAATATTTTGTTGTATAATCACAATATCGAAATAAACAATAAGCCTGTTTTCTGTAAGAGTGGTATAGAAAAGGAGTGCTTTTTTATAAATGATGTTATTAACGAAGATGTTTATTTTTATAATTTTGTAGAATTTCAACATGGATATGGTATTAGGTCCAATGTTCTACCTTTTCACAGTATAATTAGTGCTATAAAACAGTTTATAAAAAGTAAACAAGAAATCTGTGCTTTATAAAAGAGTATTTGTTTACCTATTATACTATATTATATTAATATTATATTAAGGAAGACTAAAGAGGCACAGGATACAAAGGAAATGGTTTACAGTTTTTAAGTTAAATTAAGTTGGCTTAAATATCGAATTAACAATAGAATCTTAACTACACACTCCTACATAAAATGGGTATAAAACAAAATTCAACTTGTACTTTTTGTAAAAACAATCTAGAAACAATTGAACATCTATTTGGGGATTGTGGTCAAGTATGTGAAATTTTGAGAGAACTAAAACAATTGCTAGCGACCAGTAATATTGATTTGAATTTTGACAAACAGGAATTTATATTTGGACAATTCAGTTCTTAGGATGCTAATTTAATAGCAGATAATCTTATCTTATTATTGATTAAACAATAGATTTTTAAAACGAGTTTAAAGAATCACACACTCTTTAAACTCAAATCTCATAAGTTCTTGATAAATAAGCATAAAAACTGCAAAAATAATAGAGACTTACATAAAAAAGTTGAAAAATGGCTTCTCCTATAAAATAACATGAACAATCATCGTTATACTACAAAGAAAACCAGATGTCTAAGGTTTGAAATCCCCACCCCCCTGTGTTGGTGTGGGTGTGTGTATATGTGTACAGTATATAATTAGTCTCTTGTAAAGAGGTGTCCGTTGTGAAGGGAATTGTAATCAACGTAACGTATGCTTGTTGCTTTGTGTGTAAATGTGTTGTTGATAAAAAATAAAAAATGAATATTTTTTTTATAAAATTATCTGACGATAATATAACGAGTATGGACCTGAACTATTTAATACCACATAGTATTTTCCATTATATATGTCTAAAACGACTATTCAACATTTGTGTTAAACATAATGGTTATTTATGTGAATCGTAATACATACTAGTGATACGTTGTAATCAAAACATACCTTTATAACATGCTTGTATGCGTCCAGTGTAATTGTCTATTATTTCTTCAGCAAAGACGTTGTCAAAACCAAGAATGTCACGCATACTTGTGTATTCACCGTACGTAATGCCATTGTCCTTTTTCTCCACCAATCTGATGAAAAGATCAAACATGGTTTCTATTTCTCCTATATCAGCCTGAGGTAGTAGGTTAAGCATGTGTACCTTATTCAAAATGTTCCTCCATTTTTTGTCTTTAACCGAAAATAATTCTGCTAGGTTCTGCACCATGTCTTTATGCAGTTGTAAAATTTCTGGTGGTCTGGTGAAACCTGTTGCCATGTCGTAATGTGGTACCTATACGAAAAAGATATAATAATAAAGATATCAGCAAAATCAAAACTTGGTCATAAAAAGATAACAGTGGCATAGTATGGTCTGAAAAATTAGTTTAGTGATCTATTATGATAAAGGAAAAACATGCATGTATTGGCAACGTTATACGGGGCAACGTCCACAGTTAACCTGTGACTCAGATTAGTATAAGTACATATTTATAAACAGGGAATTAACATACCTTAGATATATTTATGCGTAGGTAACATTTGCCTCCATGGCATATGTCTTCAGACTGAGAGCGGATCGACTTCAAATTAACTTTACTTTTATATATTTTAATGTATTTATTTCGCTCAAATCATCCGCATTGCTATAAAAAAATGAATCACGATATCTGAAAATTCATGCTACCATATTTTCATTTAATTAACCGAAAACACTAACTTGACTGACAATCAAATAACATAAAACAACATAAAAACATGGTAAACTCTGATGTCCTTGTCTGTTTTGAAAGTGAATATAGTAATTTTCAAAATTCACGTGAAATGATAGGAACAGAAATTCAGCAAAATCGGTTTCGGCACTAGCAAGTTATCGTAATGTTATCGCATGTTGGGTACTTGGAAATCACTACCTGAACATTTCATTTTATTCTCTGTAACCCGGACGTGACGTAGTAAGCGGAACGATGTGTCTACAACCCACATCCCTAAAAGTTCGTAACTGAGCACGGAAATATGCATGCAGAGCAATGTATGATACATTTGTAGCTATTACTGGTAAGTCCCAGCACTAATTTCCGACACGGGCATACACCAGAGTGAACTATGATTATGAGGAAAACGGACATGGAGAGGCCGGGCGAACATTCTGGCAACGTTCATTTCACTTCCAAGTGATTAGAATCATGTGATCATTAGACATAACAACGACATATCTTGATCTCTAAAGCAATAACCTGAATGAAGGCCATGCTTAAACGAAACATTTGTCTCGACACCATACAATGCACTCACAAGAAATGACTTGCTAGCGAAATTGTTTTTTTTTTAAAGTTGGTGGTAAGTACTTAGGCTTATTCAGATCACGTTGACAACATTTCATAGAATTTGACTTGTGAGAATTAGTAAGAAGAATACCGGCGAAATGTAAACAGCATTACTTACAACCTCCTGCAAGTCCGAAACAATATGACAACTACATATCCGATCTTGATCAAGGCTTAAAGGGCAGGGTATAATCCCGGTATTTTTATATGTATTTGCTTAAAGTTTGTTCATATATACAAAGTTATATATAATAACTTAACAAACACTTCTCTTTCTAAAAAAAATATCAGATCAATTTGTATTATTTAATATCAAATGTGGTTTTATGAGGGATACGATTTTTGATTCATTCCCTATATTATTGGAAGGCGGTGCAAAAATACAAAGCAAAGTACCAATGGCAAGCACATAGACTTGCTTCTTTTGGTATGTAGCTCGTGCAATGACATATGGATTGGAATATGATGAAGTATTCACAGAACAATATTTAAAGCATATAATTTGTCCTTCAACTGTACAGTTCTCAAAACAAAAGAACAAAAGATTCTGATATGGTGATAAAACAATATGCAGTTAAAACAATTATCTGTTATATGAATATGTTAAGACTAGAAAGTATATGCAAACTGCTTTCGTACTATTAAGTATGAAATATTGTCAAACTTCTAAGATGTTTCTGCAATATATCAGTTCTGACTCTGCTTAGTTTCAATATATCATTGTTTAGGTTCAGCCTGACATTTCATTGTCTTTATTTCATTTAGAATGAAGTAATATCAGTTTCATACCATAAGTCAAATGTGAGTGGTATTTATATAAATTAGAAGCATGCATCAACATATTTACCTGGTATATGGACGTATTTATAATCAACTTATATTTATAATTCCTTTATTTTGTATTCTTTTTATGATGTAAATATTTCAAATCTTGACCTTAACAGTGATATATGTGATAGGGCCCTTATTTCATACACAAAATTATCTCAGCTTAAGATGTATGCTTCTTTCCCTCTCTCATTGTTGACATCAACATATGTACATAATGATCTTAACATCACTTTTCACCTATTTTATACCAATATTTATACATTGTATTGACTATATTATATTATATATATATGATCAAATTTCAAGATTTTAGTTCAAAAGTCGGTAATGCCTACAGAACATGTCTATAATGGGATATGATACTGTATTTAAGTTTAAAAGGAAGACATTAAGCCTAAAGGTCCTGCTCTAACCCACATTGTGAACACCAGTGTACAATTGGTAGTGACACTAGTGTAGATTGTGTGTGACTCTGGCGTGTGCACATATTGTAGTGTATATACAATACCGGTTTTGGTGTGCAAAAGCAGCGTAGTTTACAATAAGCGTGGCAAAACGTCTGTTGGTGTATGATACTTACTTCTAGTTAAAAGACAAAGGACGAACTTCAAAGTAACTGTGATATAATGAAACGTAAATCAAACTTATAGTTGATCGATACTGATCTCCCCAGTTCTGGCATTTCTTTAGTTTTCAGTCCTTTTAACAACTTTTATCGCAAGCTGCAGGGTCTTTTTCTTCATTAGATATTTCTTATCAGCTACAAGCTTGGCTCGAATATGTCAGGAACAGTCTATTGTAAATAGTTTTTGGCCTGTCATTTTCGTTAGGACATAAATCATGCGATTTTTGATAATTCACTGTCAACCAAGTTACTTTCCTTGTGCGTTTATAGTGTCACGTTAGTAGTACGTGACCCGCTAATTTATTTTTTTTGCCAGGTGAAAAAAGGTCGAATTCAGAGTATTAAAATCACTTGATGCACTCTTTAAGGATTTATATGGACTTTTCCATATATATATATATATATATGCGTGTGTGTGTTTTGTATGGAAAACATTTCTTTTCTCACTTCATGAACAAATGTAGCCGAGTTCCAAGTATGCTGCTTACTTACCACATAGGTTTTAAGAAAACGAAATGTTATGTGATAGGGTCAAATCCTGGTTTTCAATCTTGTTCATACGTTTTTTATGTGGTTACCATGCGGTTCACCAAACCGAAAATTTGGGAAAACACTTATTCACTTAATTTGCATTATTGTATAAAAACTGCATATAATAGTGTGTCTTGTACATATTTAACATATACATATAACGGTATGGATTATACATGTTTGTATACGTGTAGACGTGTTGAACAGGAAGAATCCCCTCTCTAAATATGTTTTATTTTAAGGATCGGGCCATTATACTATACACTGCCACACCATAATTAGGGCGCGATTGTTCACACAGGTTATCTCCCCATACTATCTATGTTTATCTGCCAAGCGCAATGTAAACATATACCCTGCCTGACCCTTGATACATTGCTTAATATTTTACAGCAACTAACTAATAACAATAAAAAATATATTATGAGATACGACAAAGGTTTAAAGCTTTACAATACAGAGACTAGTATAGCTGTAGCGTGTGTATGTGAAGGGCGCTGACGACACTGACATACACTGCTGTAGTGATTCACTCCGATAGCCCGTATTTCTCATATACTTCCTCTTATATACATTTGCAAAACGATGATATAATAACTTGATCACAAAGTAGCAGAAATACATACCTTAACCTGCTTCAAATGTCCTCATTTTGAATGTGTTTCCTCTGTGCACCTTATTTTGTTCCTGGTTGTTAATAGTTATATGACGTAAATTTCGTTCACTGACCCATATAATTAACCTGTAATAGGAAGAAAGACTAGCATATCGGAAAGCCAGGCAAACGTAGTGTTTGTGATGAAGCGTGCTAGCTAGACACGATGATGTCGGACTATTGCCGTTCGTTTATGTCAATAATGGAATAATGCAAGTTATCTAGATGTAGTTTTATGCACAACAGGACGAATTACGCGAAGCTTACATAACAATAAGGTTACCTGAGGCAATAGACTACCGAGGAGAACCCCGAGTGTTTCTCTCCGATACGAGAACAGCCTGCGTTCACTCTACACTAGAACAAGTCAGACGTGTCGTGTTACCCGAGTATCCACTGGGTTTATTAAATCCAGCCAGACTTGTGATGTTAATAAAATATAATGTTTCTTACTTTAAACAGACCAATTTGTTGTCGTTTCCCCAACTTTAGAAACAGAAAGTGTGTCGTTACTCTCTAAAAACTTTCTTGAGATGAGGTATCAAATCAATATAGCATGTATGGGGTTATATTATTTTTGTTGTGTTTATTAATGCAACAAAATCATAAAATCTGAAACTAAGAAACATTCATATAATACCTGATTATTTCAAAAACCGTTTAAAATAACGACTTTTCATTCCGTTATGATGTAGACGACGCCAACGCTCTTATATTTTCATGGAACCATTTTATGGTTAGCTATCTAGGAATGTCAGTACTTATTTTTTTCTGAATAACAAAAAGCCATAAAGTGATGAATAAAGCATGTTATATGCTGGAAATGATGTATGACTTTTTACGATTTTTTTCTTTTGCCTTTTATAAGCTTTCCTGATATAATGACTCCAAAATTGAATGACCTCGTATTAAATTGAAAATAACTTTGAGTGCTTACTAAAAATTCATAATTTCCTTATAACTTTAATGTTCTCTCAGCCATTTTATGGTTTGATTTATATTAAGCAAAGCAATCATTATCATTCTTGTATCACCTACAGCTGGGGCAATACAATTTGACCAGCAGTTTGAATGAAAGATAAAACTGATTCAGTGCAATTACGTTGACATACTTTTAGGTTCATATATGTCAAATGAGTAGCTTAAATTATTTTCATCCATGCATGTTTTTTATTTGATCAAGTTTATGGTTCAATAGCATTGTCTTTGTCCTCATCGATTTGTAATTACAACGTTTGTGGTACAGTAGACCTGATCTACCTACATTGTTATTTATTTGTGTACTAATTGAGGAATTTATATCATGTTCTTGTATGTTGTTGGGTTACACACACATTAATACATAGTTAGCTTTATTCCTATATAGTTTGCATTTTTTGCGATACATGTACATAAATCATATGTTATACTTATTTACTAAATACTAATGTTGTCAACAATTAAAGTCTACAATTGAATTTCCTTATTACTCGCGCTCACGTTTTAGTGGACGGATGGAGTATCGTCATTACATGCAATGTAGGTCATGGTTTGATTAGCTCTAATAATTATACCGTATGCAAACTTCTTTCTTGACTTACCAAATTATAAAGTAATGATATAAGCCGTCACACAATTGAATTGTTTACTATATATATTCATTTTGGCTAATTGAGGTAGGCTCATTCTTTTGGTAATGGTATTGTAGCAGGTTGAATTATTCTGTCATTATAATATTTGATCATTATATACATTATTTATAATTAATGTGTTGTTTGAAATTTAAATAAAAACTGGCATTGTTTTTTAAATGGTCTTTCCTGTAATGTGATGGTGTGTGCTGCCTTAATGTTTGTGAACATGTTACCTATATTTAATTATATTCATGTATTGACATGTGACAGACTATCGGAATTTTGATTGGACAAGACTAACCTGAGGTTCCTGCTTTCCACCTCACTCTGACTTCTGTTCACGTTTACACCTGGTACTCTGAGGTGTAAGTGCTTTATTTAAAAGGAGCTGTGTTAGCCTGTGCCATTGCTGCTTTAGGTGGTACATTAAACTATTTTATACCAGTTTTTGTAAAGTATTGTACTCTAAGTTTATCACATTAGGTGTAGGCTTAATCTGTATAACATATAAATAATGGTTTAATTATAAAAGTTATAATTATATTTGTCTTCAATTATTAACTTTTGTAATGGGCAGTTACCGCCATTTTAGGTGTGCTTTGTCTAGAATTGACTAAAGATTTATACTAAATAGTTTTATATATAAGTTTCTGGTGAATAATTAATAACTACATAAAGGTGAATAGTCTTCCTTGGAGTTTCATGTCAAATTTATTTTAGAGGTGAACCTTTTGTCCCTGGCAATGCTCTGTATGGCTCTAAGCCGTGTGTTAACCCCTATCATATCTCGTAGGGTGAGTTTGTACAAGTATATGTTTAATATGGTTAGGGTCACTGTCATCAAGTGATAAGTAATTGTAATGAAATAAATGTAATAAATGCTTTGTTCTTGAGGCGTGTTAATGTAATAAATTTAACCGTACCTATCTTTTCATTATTAAATGGAAAATAGTTGTTAAGTTATGTTTCTAGTACTAAATTGTATATTGTAAAATACAATTTACATCTTTTCATGTGTTAATGAGAATAATTGACTGAAATATTGCAATATGACTGTAAGTAACGAGTTATCGTTCTTTGCTGTGTATGCACTATGTTTTGCTATGTTTTTTATAATAAACATTACATCGAACCCACAACATTTTCTCGACTGTTACAGTATTGTGACGTAAAGAAGTCCCTCCTCCCCGAAAAAAAATGCGCCAAATTACAAAACAAGGGCTCAGTCATCTTATGATATGTATCAACATGACCCAAAATTACAAGTTATCCTACTGACAGTATCACATCTGGTGAAAACCAGTAGAAGGACAAAGATTTCCATAAGTGATTCCTACGGCAGTGTGTTGTTACCACAAAGAACTTTGATACCCAGTGTATCGTCCGGTTTGGATTAGGTGTACGACAAGGACCGGAAACTGAAAGGAGTTGTGTTACCTTTACCTAGGATGCGCACCTCTGTGGCAATTACCGGAGTTATTATCGATTTTGAAAAATATCTTTAAAGAAAACTATTGAGTTTACATTGAATTGATCCATAACACCGTGTGGCGTCACAGCGTTCCCTTCCTAACTTAGGGGGCGTGGCTATAACGTAGATGCGTATTAATGAGGCAGGACGTAACGAAAAATCCTAGAAAATGCGTGTCATGGTATATTTTTCAAAGATTTGCGACACCACTCCTTCTTGACGTCTAAGACATTTATGAGTTCTGTTTATATTAACAGGACAAAAGCTTTGTACTACTTTTTCAAATTAGTTCTCGGTGCAGCTCCATCCGTTTTGTCTACGCCTGTAACGATCTTGGTCGGATTTCCCGTCAAATGTGTTCTGGTAACATCTTTTCATATTTCCTGATTCGATGACCATATCACGTTATTTTTCAGCGAAAAGTTATTTTTGCAAGCGTAGTGTCAACTTCACTTCTCTGGTAAGGGATATGAGGCATATTTTATGCACTACTCTGACATTTTCAGGTTGATTGCTGTCGCTTGTAAACATTAACATGTGTAGATCGTTCTGTGTATTCACACACCTACTGAGCATACAATTGTCTACCCTATCTATATATACCTTACAACTCACCTGTGACCCTCCACCCGCTGCCCTACAATAATGGCAGTTGAAACCCGTTATTTGTTAAGGATCGTTCATATACACACGCGTCTCCTGCCGTCTGCTCTAAAATATTGGTGAGAGAGTTACTCATCTGTGACGCTCTACACCGATATCACACCTGATACAAATAAACGTGACATGTCGATAATTGTTATTCCGTGTACCCTTTTGGAGGGTAATCATGTCTACCAAAATATAGGGATGTAGATTAACAGATCCCCTCGACTTTTGATTCCTCGACAATGATGTGTATATTAAGAACTCTTATAGTAGCGTGGTTTAGTAGGACATGTCTCAAACCATGGTTTCACCCTCGAAACAGCAACACTTATTTGAATATTATATATAGAGTTCCCATACTTTGGTTGTTTTCGACGGTCTTATGGCTGCAGTTGTTTTTTATTCTGTGTAGTGGTTCAGAACCTATACATGTCCGAAAGATATGCAAGAACTGTTCCATTGAATTGGCATTACGCTGGTTTATCTCGAAACATCAGAGATTCCAGACAACTCCACATGTTTTGAAGAAGACAAGGTTCCTTTATTTTTCATGGACGCCTTTTCAAAGAGACGAGTGAACATTATGGAACTCGTTTTTCGACATTGCTCCCTGTGCACTAGATATCGTTTAGATACCTAAACTATACAAGCGACAGTCGTTAAGGTCCTCATTATATGCAACATAGATACATTGGTGGGGACGCATGCGTTGTTTCTATGTTTTCTTATATGATAGAGCTAAGCAGAGAAAAGCGCTGTAAGAAACCATCAACAACGAACAGTTGGTAAGGTTGTGTGGAGTTATCATAAATGTATACAGAGAAAACATTCACACAAACGAACGATACCTAAAACAACCGCAACCTTACAAAGACTTCAATCGTTCGCTGGCCCTTTATACTATAGGAAGGAAGCACGATATTTTACCAAAGCATCATAGCATCGCTCCATCGTTGGTCCAACCTGTGTTATCGGACCTAGAGAAAAACGATGGCACAATACTTCGACTCACAAAACAAAGTACATGATTCGGTTTGTCCGCAACAACAGCACACCAACTCCAAGATGTATGAAGAGTAACCCCCGACACCAACAATTATACAGGAACCTAAACCTGACGTGCTGGCCTTGATTTAATTACCCATACCGGCGAAACTTCGAAAGAACGCTAAATGAATTATACATTTCTTTAAAGAGGGACCTGAGGAAGACCCTGTGGAAGATTAGCTTTGCTAAACAGGTTTTGTATCCTCAATAAATAAAGTTTATTATTATTATTAAAGAGCACGGATAACATGTTCCTACTTGGAC